TTCTGATTTACGGGATGATAAGAGGCACTCTCAAGGGAGCACACAAGTTATAAAATGCTGAAAATGTGCACCCTCAAAATAAGCGAACATGCATCATACAGCGTTTCTTGAAATTCAAAGCGTCTATCGAGTTATTCAAACAGACTCGTGCTTCTGAGACACCCTGCGAAATTCGTCAACACTTGAATGCAAACCGGAGAATTTTTTCATGGCTATGAGTTGCGTTTTCAATATCAGTTTCAGTTCAATATCAGTTTTTTAGTATCAGTAGAATTCATACATAATGACGCGGTATAACGGAATCGGAAAAAAACACGCAGAGCTTACATTTTTATTTCCATTGAATAAGTATGACTCAAATCGAGGAGTCTGAAATCAAATCTGTAAAGTTGTGTGTGAGAATAGTATCACGCATTTCGGTTTGACGCAGCATTGAAAAGGCGAGTGACTTCAACTGTAAAATCTCCGTGTTTTTAATGACCGTTGCAATGAAACGTCCAGTTATTTTTACCACCTCTCCCCTGGAGAAAATATTTTGATACTGACAATGAGATAAGTTGCCAAAGGTAGAATGTGGCCCTGCTCTTGCGCTCATATCAAAATTATCGTAAAAAGAAGTAAGAAATCGAGTTCGCCTTCAACTCGATGAATACAATTTGAGCGGCTCAGGAGTTAAAATAGTCGTATCTAGTATTTTGGTTCGGCGCAATGTTCAAATGGCGAATGACTTCAGTTTTAACCCTTGTGTTTTGAATGACGTCCTCAGTTCCTCCTTTTACGTGATTCTCCCGCCGAAAAGTATTTTGATGCTAGCATTGTGATAAGTTGCAAGATAAGGATTATAGCAATAATGAAAAAAATTACACAGCGGGTAACAAGGCTAATTTCCACGTAAATACCACCAAAACGTTTCGACTGAAAACTCAGCATTTCTCGGTTGGATAAAATCAGTTAAAAATTGTAAAACTCTAAAAACGTACTTGGCTGTACCTTTCAAAGCGAGAAAGATGTTTTTTTGAAAGAAATTTTGTCAACGCATTCACCAGAAAACACCGCAACCAAGCATCAATGAAACAAATTCCACGTCTAAAGTTTCAGCCGATAGATCAGCAGCTGGACATCCAGCAAACCAAACCACGCAAAATGAGCATTGAGGAGTGGACCTAAATTTTTTTTGGAGTTGTCTGATTTTCTATTTCACCCGTATTTTACCCCCTTTCACTTAGCTACACATTGACAAAAAATTCGTGTTCTTGCGTTACTTTTCGTTCATATAGGAAGTGAAACGCAAACCAACCCACATCTGAGTTGCCTTTGGCACAGTTTTCCGTGAATTTACCGTAGAAAACAATTCTGAGAATATGGGAAACCCTAGAGACAATGGAAGACTTGAGTTACTCTTTGTTTTACTTCCCGTATTAAACTAACTTTCGTTTTGAGTTATTTCTCTGTAACTTTGCTTCTCAAAATCAGCGAACATTGTAATACAATGTCTGAAAGGTAGTAGCACTGAATATATTGGTATTTGGAGTGTAGCCGAGTGCTAGAAATAATGTAAAATTTTCTTTAAAAAACTTACATTTTATTAACAAACTTAGACCGAAGCTTTTCGAAGCAAACGCTTTATTGTCAGGGTCACAAAATCGATATCACAAAGGCCATAATTTAATTTCAAACGAGGTAACAGATTTCATTGATGGTAGCAATTGATAACAAGCTATTAGATCAAAACACTTTTAATAATCACCATCTCTTTTACTTCTAACAAACCCATGGAACCCAAACTCTTCAGCTAAACAAATACCTGAAAAAAAATTACTATAAAGCCCACATTGAAAAAAAATCTCGGTGTATTTACTAAGAAAAGGGTAAAATTACCAAGAATTTAGGGTTCTATTTGATCCCAGTTTTTTCTTGGTAAAATTACCATTTATGGAATTGGTAATTTTACTGGACCTTGGTAAAAACGCCAATATTTTTTATCGACTGTGGTAGAATTACCGAGATGAATTGGCAAAGTTACCGGGAATTGATTACCAATAAAAGTGGTATTCTTACCTAAAAAAACAGTAAAAATACCGGTTTTTAGGTAAGCCTACCAGTCTGTCTTGGTAAAATCACTAATAATTGGTAAAAAAAAGTGAGATGATAAAGGTACCAACGGGCCTTGGTAAAAACGCCGTGAATTTTTTTTTCAGTGCAGGATCTTTTTGAAGAAACTCAATCTAGATATGACCGGTTTGCTTAATGCTATCTATTCGAGCATGAAAGGGACGAAAATACGGTGGACTCAACGAACGGAGTTGGGAGTGTAATGGCACGGGCAGGAGGGGTCATAATGATTGGTTCAATCAAACGTGACCACGTCCCGTGATCCGCGCTCCCCGTCCGAACGGAAAATGAGGCGGCCGAATAACAGGCACGGTCATCTGCAGGGATTTTTCCCACCCGCGGATCACTTATTACACGCCGCCCCTCGCCCTCCAATTTCACTCGCTCATTGACGACCACGCACTCAACTTTCTGACCGGGATTTCTCATTCCGCGTTTATTTGTCGCATTTATCATCATCATTTTCACGCAGAATAATTTTCATTTCGTTTCAGTCTTGGAGATTGGAAATATAATAGGATAGAATTAATTTTATTAACGTAGATAAAATATAAAAAGCCAGCAGGTCAAGCTTACCAAAAATTGGAATGAAAATGACCCATCTCAATTATTAGTCCAATAATCGTATAAGGCTTATTATACAGGGTTATTCAAAAGTCACGCACCACCGGTCATAACTTTAGTTCTAATGAAGATATCGACTTGCGGTTTGTGACGATTTTCCTCATATCCAGGGGAAAATTTTTTTAGGCACTTTCCAGTTTTTGACCCCCTCAGGGGAAGGAGGCGGGGGTCAACTACAAATTTCAAATGGCAATCCCCCTCATGTGGTGCGTGACTTTTGAATAACCCTGTATATTAATCGTATAAGGATTGCTTATTTTGCTTGCGAATTGTGGGGAATTTACACAGTTTCCTCTGAAATTTAGAGTCACGCGTCGTCAATTTGTAACTTTACTTTGCAGTAATTATGGTAAATAATGCACATTAATCTGCCTTTGGACGTTATTTCCTCTCCACACTTCATCCGTTTCATTATTCGTGCTCACTCCTTCAGCACAACATAATTTAGTTTATGTGTATTGTGTCTCTTAGAGAACTATAATGTTCGTTTCGCGGAAATTACTAAAGCACAGTCTCTTCTGGTTACCTGCAGGTTGTTTCCTGTATTCGCTGCACTCTAATAATTATGATTAAGGCTCTGTTGGTGCCATTCGGTCTGGGTGAGCTGCTGTAACGGTTTTTGACATTGGTTTGTGTTACAAGAAGCAAGGTTATGCGAAGAAATTAGACCCTGAATCAGACGAGTATCGGCAGATTCGATCAAAAACACACTATCAAGGAGCTGAGAAATTGCTGGAGTTATGTCGAGCAAACAAGGGTGTATATATCAAAGTTGGGCAGCATATAGGTGCTTTGGAGTATCTTCTACCCAAAGAGTATGTTAACACTTTGAAAGTTCTGCATAGTCATGCGCCAAGTTCATCCCTTGAAGAAATCAGTGCAGTTCTCAAAAGAGATCTGAAGAGAGACCCAGCTGAATTTTTTGATTCAATGGAAGATGAGCCTTTGGGTGCCGCTTCTTTAGCTCAAGTTCCTAAAGCTGTCCTTAAAAATGGAGAGACTGTAGCCGTGAAAATAAAACATCCGTATGTGTGTTCTCATTCTGTGGTGGACATGAAAACAATGGTGGTCTTAGTTTACATTGCATCCTGGGTATTTCCAGAGTTTAAATTTCGATGGCTAGTTGATGAAATGAAACGGAATATCCTTCAAGAGCTCGATTTCTCTCACGAGGCTAAGAACACAGAGCAAGCAAGACGAATCTTCAAGCACTTTCCTTGGCTTAAAATACCAACGATATATTCTGATTTAAGCACGCATCGCGTGTCCTCACAATGGAATTTGTGGAAAGAGGTCAGGTTAATGATTTAGACTACATTCGAAACAACAAGATTAACCCATTTGATGTTTCTGATAAACTTGGCAGAGTTTATTCTGAAATGATTTTTAACTCAGGATTTATTCATAGTGATCCGCACCCTGGAAATATTTTGGTCCGAAAAGTCAAAAGTGGAACACAGCTTATTCTTCTTGATCATGGGCTATACGCTACACTTTCTCCAGATTTTCGCTACAATTACTCAAAACTATGGATGAACATTTTGAACAAGGACAAAGACGTAATGAGAAAGTACTGTGATTATCTCGGAGTGGGAGATGCTTACGCTCTTCTAGCGTGCATGGTGTCCGGCAGGACTTGGGACGCTATTGAATCTGGAATCAACAAAGTTGAATATACAACAAATGAGCGAGATTTATTTCAAAAAGAGATTCCTGGTCTTTTGCCTAAATTGACCGAAATACTCCAAACTGTAAATAGAGAAATGCTTTTAGTCCTGAAAACCAAAGATCTGCTGCGAGGGATCATCGAATTCACACTCCAAACTCATTCTAGGAAAGCGTCATTTTTGGTCATGTCTCAGTGCTGTGTAAAAAGTATTTATGAAGACAAATTACGAGAAGTAAATCATCGGTTGGCAAGATTAAGAATCCTCATTGCAGAACGATGGGCCCTCTTTACTTTGTCTGTATATTATACCTATTTAAGTCTCAAAACGTTCTCTTTTTCAGATACTTTTAGAATACTTTTCTAACTCTTAGGGAAACACTTTCAGAGTTAGCTGAAATCTTTTGCTTGCATGTAATTTTATAAATACTTTCACTTTAAAAATGACATTTTAGGGGATCCCTTGGTTAACAGATGCTCTTTTTTAGCACCTCATTTTTGTAATTTAAAGCAAATGAAGATGTTCAAGTGTTCACTTCACTTCAGCGCTGCCACATTTCTATCGAAAATGAATAATTATGCATATTTGTGCAAATAGACACTTTTTCAAAAAATCGGAATTCGTTCAAATGTCCTGCAACGAAGCCCTGGGCCTGGGGGTATCCCTTGGGGGTCTTCACCGCGCTTCAAGCGCACAACCTGAAGACGCCGCGCCTACTGTCGCGGATTGCCTGCCCACTGAGAGGCGATGGTCGCCTGGTCCAGCCAGCTCAAGCGCTCGGATGAGCTTCCATCTCCGGCTTCACAACCCGGAGCTGCTCTCCGCGTCCTGCGCGCTTGAAATCACGCTCCTGCGCGCACATATATGCTCATCATAAAAAGAAAAATAAGAAAAAAATTAGAATTTGCTGAGAACAATGATATGAGTGATATTTACAAAAAACAGTACAAATACAATACAAATACAGTACAAATACAATACAAATACAATACAAGTACAATACAAATACAATACAAGTACAATACAATTACAATACAAGTACAATACAAGTACAATACAAATACAATACAAATACAATACAAATAAAATACAAATACAATACAAATACAGTTCGTAAGTACAATTACGAGAAGTCACAAATACAAATTATGAAAGACAATGCTGAGAGGGGCTCAGAACTGCGGGCGTCCACGGCCGTAGTGCCAAGTGTGGCGGCGTCCGGGGGAACGCGGCGTCCTCGGATGCTTCGGGGATCTTGGCTGCCTCGGCTGCTTGGGTCGGCGGGACCTTCCTCCCTGGTTAGATCGCTGAGGGGCAGGTTGGTTGGGTTGTCTGCCAGAGCGACCGCTGGCGTGGGGTGCAGAGTGCTGGAGAGCCCTCGGCTGCCTGGGTCGGCGGGACCTTCTTCTCTGGTTAGATCGCTGAGTGGCAGGTTGGTTGGGTTGTCTGCCAGAGCGACCGCTGGCGTGGGGTGCAGAGTGCTGGAGAGCTCGTGAAGACGATCGGGCTTCTCTGCGCCCAATGAGCTCGCGCAGCCACGACGGGAGTGCGCCAAGAATCAGCTCCCGATCTATTCCGTTTGAGTGGCCGCATCCTTCGGGGATTCCTCGGGTGCGCGGGCGGGCAGGTGGAAGTGGTACCGTAGGCACAGCATCGGGAGATGGATGGTGAGCCGGCGTTGGGGCGTTGAGGTCTACCATCTCCGTGCCTTCTTCTTGGCGGTGGGCCAAAAGCGGCTGTGGGCTTGGCCTGGGTGGGGAGGGTGGCCCTGGCGACTGGAACAGGTTGAACCCCATTAGGAGATCCTCCTCTTCCAGCGTGAACTGCGCAGGGGTTGAAACAGGGATCTTTCAGGATTGAAACAGTTCTCCCGCCAGTAAAAGAATTTGTACTCTACATGGGATCTCAAAAGTCGGTACTCCCCCCCCCCCTCCTAAAATTTTGATGAATTCTATACATTACTTTGAGTCAGTCTTCTGCTTCCTTTCCAAAGTCTTAAAATTTTGAAAGATTACCTTCAGCTGGGGGCTCGAAGGGTGCTAGTCTCTAGCTCTTTGGTGTTGACGAGAAGCCAGGCTCGAAAATTTCATAGAGAGAGAAGGTCTCGTCCTCCTCCGCCTGGAACAACATTAGAATTTCTATCAACTCCGGCGCAGGGGTTGGCGAAAGCTCCGCTAACTTCTCCGCGGTCACTGGCGAGAAGATGGAGGTCTGCTGCTGGGACCCCTCCTGGCTGGCTGAAGCTGCAGGCGGCGAGCGGGGCACCGGTCGGATGGCCGCGACTGGAGGAGCGGGAGCGGCAGGAAGGGAGTTGCCGCTGGAATGGCCAGGTTGGGCCCGGCTGGATGGCGGCCGGGAAACGGTGGCGGTCGGCGGCGGGAAACGGCGCTGCTGGGGTGGCGCTTGAGCTGGGCGGTCGGCGTCTCTGGGGCGTCTCTGATCCCTTGATGCTGCCCGGCGGCTAGAGGGCGTGGAGGGGTGCCGGGAAGAGCGGGTGGTGGGCGCCCGGGAACGGTGCCTCAATTTGGAATCTGTTTTGGACCCTTTATTGCACCCGTGATGCCAGCTGCCTTATCGATTTCAGAACAAGGCGGGACCACGCCCCGAGGTAGCTGCGGAAGTCTGAAACTACATCAAGAAGTATGTTAAGATAAGTAGGTAATACTCATCAAATCTAATTTAGAGGAAAAATGAGCGACATATATCCTCCATTGATTGAATTGGAAAACCGAAAGGATATGATAGAAAATTTGAATTTTATAATTTTGTCGCTGCTATTGAGAGCATCCGATTCAGTGGAAAATTCGAAAAAAAGAGAGAGAAACAAGATAGCAAAGGTCAATCCTCTCAGGATTGAAATAGTTGTCCCGCCAGTAAAAGAATTTGTACTCTGCAGGGGATCTTTCAGGATTGAAATAGTTCTCCCGCCAGTAAAAGAATTTGCACTCTACAGGGGACGACCCCCCCCCCTCCTAAAATTTTGATGAAATGTATATTTTAATTTGAGTCAGTCTTCTGCTTCCTTTCCAAAGTCTTAAAATTTTGAAAGATTACCTTCAGCTGGGGGCTCGAAGGGTGCTAGTCCCTGGCTCTTTGGTGTTGACGAGAAGCCAGGCTCAAAAATTTCGTAGAGAGAGAAGGTCTCGTCCTCCTCCGCCTGGAACAACATTAGAATTTCTATCAAGTCCAACAGGAAATGTTACAACTGTTTCCACTGATACACTTGAAAATTTTTGGTACACTTTGAATATGGATGGCGACAAACAATATCCTTGTTCAAGTCCCTTAGTAATTAAAAACCCCAACGATACCTCCCCATGTGATTTAACCCTAGGAAAAAGCCCTATCATAAAATTCTTTAATCGCACTAATTAGTCCCCCACTAAAACCCTTTTTGCTCACAAACAAATATAAATACAATTGAAATTTTAAAATACATTTTATAGCACTAATATTTTTTATTATTTGCTCTTTGGTAACACTAATTGTTTTTCCATTTAATCACTCGTTTACTTTTATAAAAATATCGGTTTTAATAATGTTCAGATATTTAGCTATGTAGTGTTAAGATATCTACTATGGTGCCTAACCTTAACAAAAATAATGGCTGTAAACACTTAAGCAGGTTACCGCCACTGACCGTGTCCCTCAGGATTCGGGAGTCTAATGGAAACGGGTGGAAAACGCTGTAAGGCATCGGCCCTCCCGCGCGGGTATCCCCTCATTCGGCAGGGGCGGAATTCCCACTCATCCTCACTTTCCCCCGGCGCGGCGGCGGCCGAGAAATTGGGATGAAGGCTTGAAAACGAAGTTACGAGGAAAGGATGTTGATTTGAAGAGTTACGGAAAAGTTTCAGAAGTCGGAGCATGCATGGAAATGTCTGAGGGCAAAAAATTCGTGGAAAAAAGAGCCGTGCAGCGGCCAGGGGGTTGGGGTTGTGTGGGAGGTGGGGTGGGGGGAGGGGGGCAGACACAGATGTCCATTCAAATGAAGTTGAATGGCAGCTTCTCTAAGACGGACTTAAGGGGTCGATACTGCACAGATGCGTCTGAACCCACGGCCCCGCCGCTTTCTTATAGGTAAGTCGGGGATATTTGATCTGCTCCCGGGTTTTCCCTCCCCGCAAGGGTGGGGGGATAATGGGGGGCGAGGGAGTGCCGAGGCAGCCAAGACGCACTCTGTTTGCTTTGCCCTCTTTCAACGAAATTTGCATTCATTAACCTAACACCAATCTGTTTGATGCTTCATAACAAGCGGAAGTATTATACATTATTCAGATTAATTCTCAATTTTGAACTTGAGCGAGCCGGCGCGCCTTTCCTCGCTCCGTTCCCACCTCGACGGAATTTCCTTGCCGGGTCAGTTTTCTGCCTCTCCATCTCATTTTTATAGTCTTACATTCATACCAGGGAGCCATTTCCTCCGGCCGCTACGCAGACCAATACTCTTGGAGCGTGCGCTTAAAAAAAAAAAATGGAAGAAAACGGGCTCATTTAGAGGTTTTTATTTGCCACTAGCTGTAAAAACCCTAGAAATCGGCTCAGGACACACGTAAAGCTAAATTTGATACAATGTGAACATGTTGAATCGAAAAATTCAAAATTTTATCAAATATTAACTTGGGTCATATTTCAAAAATTTGAAGAGAACGTGCGCGCCAAGATATCACACACAGAAGATATTGATAAAGTCGACCAATCACATTACTCGATTACTCCATAGTTTTGTCTAGGGTATTCGACAAACACAAGATTTCAATAATCGGCCGGCTGAACTTGAGCATTCAAAGCGGTTCCAGAAATAAAGGCGGCGTTAACGTTAACTGGCAACCTGGGGAGGCATGATCGGTGGAAATTCCCAGAGCAAATCCGTCTTTCGGCGAACGCGGTGGAGAGGTATACTTCGTTAGAAGAAGCTTTAATTAATAATGGCGTGTGATGGATTAGATGTGCAACTTGGAGTCATCGACTCGAAGGGGTAGCAGCCTCCATCGCCACCCCCTCTCGCGCCGCCCCTACGGCTCAGACAAGACCGACACACTTATACATCCAATATTTACCGCGATTCTTCATTTACGACTTGGGAACTTTCAAATTAAATAAGATGGTCAATTTGTAACCATGCAAAGTCTCGAGTCGACTCCGGAACTTACGGTGAAAGACGTGGATTGGGTAGTCTCGACATGCAGTTGAAATATTAACCCAACGAACCAGTCGGTAGCAATTGGAAATCCCTTGGAAAAATTCTTGTGGCGGATTTAAAGGACTCCACACTTCCCGAAATTACAAGACGCACAACGCCGCACAGAAGAGCGACAATGCATGAAGTCGGACATGAAATTGTCGGTTAAAGTTTCCAATTTGTATGTTTATTTTGTCACAAATTCAATCTCAAAGGGTTTTTCTGAGAGAAAATTTCACGAAAAAGCTAATTAAACCGCTCTGAAACTTCTTTGTCTCATATTTTTGGAAATATTAGCTTTCAAAATTTCCAAATGTCAGACTTCTTTTTTTGACTTTGTCCAGTGTGCGCCGTACGTCAGGGATTTGCGATGTAAGTACTTTCTCAAAAGTCAAATTTAATCGTATGAACCCAGGCTCACAAAAATCCCCCATAAAGTACATCATTAGTCGTTGCTATGGGTCTGTTGCAAACTTGGATCAAATTTAGCAGAAAGGAACCAGCGCAATTACCGTGTCGTAAAAAAGTTGCCTCTTGATAATTATCTAAGAAAGCTCCCAGAATAGTAAATAGTTTTGTCTTCCCACCGAATAATTGTTAATTTTAAAGGAAAATATAATGTGTAAATTTTAATACTGCACATAAATTAAGTATTTTTAGAAGAAAAGGAGAAGTTGCATAATTTTGAAAACACTGTAATCGCGCTGGTTCCTATTTGCTTAATGCGACCCGCTTAATCTAGAGTATAAAGAAGGGTTGTTCCTTACAGCCAATGGCTCAAAACTTACGATAAACACATTGAAAAAGTCTGAAATACTTTTCTAACTTCACATTCTGCGTAGGGAATATGAGTTTTCCGTAGCTTCCCGCCTCAGAAACGATACTACGACGCAGGTGTACATTTCGTAAGAGAAGTTGTTCCATCCATCCCTTTCACACAATATTTTCAGCGCATATTTTAGACTTTTACGATGCACTAATCGTGATTTTTGAGCTATTTTCCTGTAGAAGTCTTCTTCAGTAGTTTTAGTCTTTTTCAGTGGTCCAGTCTTCTTTTTGCTCCAGCTGAAGTTTGCATCAGGCCCATACTAACAACTAATGATTTACTTTATGGGGGATTCTTGAGACCCTGGGTTCAAACCATTAAATTTTCTGAATTCGTACTCAAATCGCAATTTCCTGACGTATGGCGATGCGTGTCTTGTAATTTCGGGAAACGCGGAGTCATCCTAATCTTCCACAAGGATTTTTATAAGAATTTCCAATTGCCTTAGCCCATTGCATGCTATTTAGAGTTAGTACGTCAAACTAACAAACTGATCTCTTCATGGATGCACAGTTATATTCACGACATTGAGCCTCAGTCTGAAACAATGTGGCTCTGTGGATGATATTTTCTGGGTTTGCGCGTGCCGTATGAATATGACAGGATTAAAACTTGCTTCTTAACGAGAACCAAACCTATAATCGGATAACATTTTATCGAGCCCTTCCAGGAGCCGCAAGTATGGCGAGCGTTCCCTCCCTTGCATCTTTCGCTCGTATTTGTTAGTGACTGGGTTTAATTTGCCACTGAGGTTGCCATGACGGCATAAAGCGCCGGGGAATTATGAGGGGAAAATATGGATCAAAATTTATACTGATCTGATGGTGAATGATGTTGTTAACCATTCATTTTTGAAGCTGTTCTTGGCATAATATGAGAACCATCGGGTGGTGCATTGATTTGATGTCCAATTTGATGCATAGTAAAAAAAGAAAGAAAAAATATTAGCCTCTGAGCTTGGCAATGTTAGATCCACTCTAATCGCAGTTCTGGTACTCTTCGTAAAATGATTAAATATCGAAAAACGCAGTTGCGACTCCTTTTCATGAGGCAAGTAAATTATAATTTTTACCTAAGAGGACATTTTAAAGAGGTCTGTGGACTTAGGAGACTGTACAGTGGCATTCTTACAAAACAAAAGCAAGGTACAATGAATGTGATCTCCATGTAGCCGCTTGGCGTTGTTATGCACAACTGCTCCTTTGGTGCTGTCTGGCAAAACTCTTTAAGAATAATTGTTGTGCCGTGAACCTGGTGCTCTGGAACTCTGTGAACACAAAAAATAAATAAACAAATATTAGATATTGAAGTTTGCGCCTTCATTTTGTAGGTAAGGCAAAAGTAGATCCAAAGAGGTCAAATTTCTGCGATAGGCAGATGATATTTGAATTACTCCTTCTAAGCAAGGTCGCAAAAGGAAGGAACGTTTACCTAGTATCTTATTTTGACAAGGAGGGTTCCATCCTCTCCATTAAAAAATTAACAGCGATCTAAACAGAACATTTAGACTCTAGTCTATACATATACCAGTAGGTAGACTTTCTACGCTTGACGCACTCTGTCATGTTACGCTAATGTCACAATTTTGCGCCGTGATAATTATACGCCAAAATTGTATCAAAGAATTGGAAATTTTTTTTCGGAGGAAAGTTAGCTTCCCTTCCATAGCAGGGGTGGCCTGGCATTGGATGAATACACAGTTTCCTTCTTCAAAAAACTAATGTTGCTCTAATTTTTAGTATAATTTAATGTACATCTCTCGGCAACTTTTTTGAGCGGTCTAATTGACCTATTTCAATTTTTTTTTACAAAATAGCAATACCCAACCTCGATTCTCAAAAGTTTTTAGACCTTCATAGCCCCTCCCAGTACGGAAAAAGCTCCCCTCAAAATTCCTGTCTGCGGCACTGAGGATGACCGAAGAAAAACGCTTCCAATGGGATTTCACAATAAAATCAAACTTTAATTTTTCGGGAGCTTTTTGTATAATAGAAGATGAATAGTAAAAATCGTCCAATTTTCATTGTTATAGTAAAAAATCTTGGATTTTTCATCGAATCTAAGTTTAAATTTCAGTCTGTCAACAGGGAATTGGAGGTCGGAGGTGTTAATCATAGGGCTAATGCCCTCACCTTTGTGTTCAAGACGGTTTTCAAAGGGGTGGTGTCTTTGCTTGACAACATCAATAATTACTCCCGTGAACTTCCAGCTCCAACCCCTTCGCATCCGAACAGATGCCACAGTGTCAAATACCCCGAACTTCCCCCGCCGTAACCACCACCCCTCGCAGTGCCACCGCCCTCGTAATTATTAATTTTCTCCTTATTCAAATTCCTTCCGACTCTGTGCCCTGTTCATGGCGATACCTCCCCATCTTTGCCAACTCTCAGGAAATAGCATCATTCAATTTTCTCCCCCGAAATTTTTCTTGTCATTTGTCTCTCCTTTTTTTCCGGTTAATGCATTTATTGAACACGTTTTATTACTTGAATATATTACTATATGTCCATATTATTTGAAGTGAACCTGAACTATTTGCAAATTATTGCGTCCTCACAAAAGTAGATAGTTAGCAGTCTTATCAAATCTTAAGGTATAAGTATATAAGAGCGATCGCAAAGGCACCGTAGAAAGTAACAGTTATCCTAAATTGGGTCGTTTTTACTTATAAAGAGATAGCTTTTTCAATTGTGCTCTTCTTTTGTTTTGATACCTTGTCTTCAAAATTGAAAAACCACTCTGAAAGTATGCCGTCCCTGTCAGGGCTGGATTAAGGGGGTGGCCACGTTGGCCGCGGCCCATGGCGGCAAATTTAGGGGGTGGCAAGTGCTGTAATTTTTTCAAATTTAGGTATCAAGAAAAAAAATCTGATTCAGAAAAAAAAAAATTAAAACCGAGAAAAAGCGAAAAAATCTCCCATTTCCTGAGAGTTAAAGTATATAGTAATTTCTAATTTGTTCATTTTTCGGTGAAACAGTAGACAGCGCCTTTTATTAGTCTAGTTGAGAGAGAAACCAAACATTCAATTTGACCTGGAGCGGCGCGGTACAGAGAGCAACGATGACGAGGTCTTGAGATGAAACACATATTAGCGCCTACAATACTTTATGAATACTTCACGCACTGCGTCAAACGTAGTGCGGTCAGGAGCGGTTGGCGTGAAGCGCATAGTGCCTACAAGACTGCATGAATACTTCACGCATTGCGTCAAAAACAGTGCGGTCAGCAGCGGTCGGCGTGAAACGCATAGCGCCTACAAGACTGTAGGGATACTTCAAGCATTGCGCCAAACACAGTGCGGTTGGCGCGATGGCGGAAATTAAAATCATAAAACCACATTCATGTTTATTCTTTCATAATTTTTTCTTTCTTTTCTTGTAAATGGAAGGTCTCGTCCACACAGAGATAAGTTTACGGAACTTAATTTTTGCGCGAATTTCCGTGAACTTTTGCTAGTGTTGACAAGGCTTTCACAAAAAATGTGCCCAACACGAGTAATCACGTCTTATGCACCCCTCCTCCTCCGGCAAGTTCACTTGATGGCTTGTATCGATGTTTTAAAACGAATATGAAGGGGCGGCAAAATACACGCGGCCCATGGGCGGCAAGTAAGTAAATCCGGCCCTGTTCCCTGTACTTAAATTTGTTCACCACTAAGAGATCAATGCGGGGAAGAGATTAGATTCAAATTGCTCCAAAGCAACGCATCGACAATTAACCATTAAATCCCCGACGAATTAAGAGTGGATCAGTGATGTTTACAAATGATACATAATATTTTAATTGCGAATTCCGTCTACAAACGTACAAATTTTTAGTCGGAAAAGATAGAGACAAAAATAGCTTTGTTAAAAAACACCTTATTTCTTTGAGGAGAGGGGGAGGGATCAAAATATAGGAAACAATTTGAATTCAGCCGATTTAAATTAAATAGAAAATGTTTTGGTGCACGTTATTCGGTTCCCGAAACGGAAAATTTAAACGTTTTAAACACTCTGCAAGCTGATCAACAAACAAAAATTCGTATCTAATTGTTCAGCGCAGAATGAAAAGAAAAAAAAGTTTTGCAAAAAAGAAAATTAAAAATTATTACATCGAACCCAAAAATAATCTTTCTGCGATTAAACGGATTTTTTATTTTCTGTAAGTCAGCAGTTTTTGAAGGAAGACATTTAATTTGAAAATGCACGGTTTTCCACACGATGCTACAAAAACGAGAACTCAGAGATTTTACGGATTGCTCATAATATCCTCATTGCAAACATCAATTATTTTCATATCAAAGGGTGGTGGTGGTGGTGATGATGATGAAAAGAACCTTTGATTAATAAAGAAACCTTTGATAAATGAAAATGTCTTTTATACAAAAAGACAACATATGTTACAAAAACTCACGAAAATGACTCTATTCCAAAAAATATCTTTTGTTTGGCATGAAAAAATCTAAAAAATCTGATGTTAAAATGTACCAATGCCGACACACAATACTTTAAATACATTATACACGATACAAATACGACACAGTACATTAAATTGAATTAAATTGAAAAAAAAAAAAATTAATCTTTAGGGTGGCAAACTCCGGTCCGCTAATCTCCTTCTCTCTTTGAAATCAGAAAGTAAAATTTGGTTTAGGCACCTAATCAGATAGTTATTTTAACTAGAAAATGAGGAACAAGTTACATGCAAAAATGTCTGCACATTAATTTTGGGTAAGGGTTACGCATTCCAAGTTTACTTCAATGGTGGAACGTTACGAAATTCATAAACTCTTTTTTACATGCAAACAACATAACCTGATTTTTGAAGAAGTAATAAATCTTTGAAGTGCACGAAACTGTGGAATAATGATAATTATTATACCAAATGTTATCTTTCAAGTCAACCTTTTTTAGTCAACCCAGTACCTTTTTTTTTAAAATTTTGCAAACACCTATTTTACCGAATCTCTTTCATACAGCAGATATTTTCAATTTAGACACGAATTCCATGATAAAATGTTTCACAAGTTCGCCGGTGTCACTAGCCGTGTCTTAAAAAAACTATCAAGCTCGAAAAAATGTCTGAAAGTTTCAGCATCACTGGATGACCACCCTTACTTTGGACTGTTTGAAACCTATGTAAAATTAGCTTTGAAGTGCATATGATGCTGACAATTTTCTCAAAATTCAACTCTTAAACTCCGAAAAAAGCTTTCAGACTTGACGTCTTAATGGACGAGCACCTATACTCTGTAAAAGAGTCCATCTGTATTTTAGTCAAACTCTTCATGTGAAGACAAAACTGAACACATTAGCACGGTTGCCATTATAGTGTGCAAAAATTAGCTTTTTGTCTCGTGGACTTTTTACACAGTGTGACAACCCTGCTGATTTAATCATTTTCATACTCCAACGTAAGTTTTTTCACCAAGGAATTTTTGCCCACAGTTAAAAATGAGTGGAATTTTAGGGCAGAATGTCTGATAGAAGATTTTCCCCTTCACTGGAAAAAATTAGCACATTGGATCTAGAGTCCAGACTCCTAAAAACATTGACAAGAAAAAGGACTCTCGATTCAATCAGATCTAAGCTCAAATCAAAAGACAATCCGCTCAAATTATGAGGCTTGGTTCTTAATTTAGGCTTAAATCCGATCGAATCAAGAGTATTTTTTCTTGTCAATGTTTTCAAGAGTCTGGACTCTAGATCTAATGTGTTTTTTTTTCCAGTGTTCATTTTTGGGAATGAATTTTTCCCAAACAAAAATCTATTAACTAAATGCTTCTGTGGCGCTCTTTCGCAGCCCAACAGTGCTGCACATACTTTCTGTTGTTTTTTTAGTCACTATAGCTACCCGAAAAGTCCCTTACCAAAAAGCAGCTACATGTTCCAGTGGCGTGGCGTGAATGATCGATTATCGATTTTTATCCATTTGAAGCTGTAGTAAAGAATCGATTATCAAGGTGTTCGCAGCGAACATTTTGAAAATAGATCCTTTCTTATAGATTCAAATGACAGATAAATCGATATATCGCAAAGCACGCCACGCCACTGACATGTTCGTAAAGTCGTGTCGTAAAAATGACGAAGAGCCCGCACGCGTTACGAGCCGAAAAAAAGCCCGATGTCGGGAAAAACACGCGAGTCGAGGCGTCGACGGGCGGGGCGGAGAGGGAGCGGGATAAAAAATTAAGGCAATAAAAATGATCGGGAGGTAAGAATAGTGGTAGCGAACCGAGGCAGTTTATGCGACGAGGAAACTTCCCCCGCGCTCCTATTTCCTCCGATTGATTAAAAATGAAAGTTGGAGTCCCTCCCGGGCGGCCCCGTTGAAAGTTGATATTTCATCGCCTCGCGTAGATGATCGGAGTCAATAAGATCAGTGTACCGGCTCAGGCTTGGGGTCAAGACGTGGTGGAGTGTCCGGCACTGAGTTATGACCTCTCGTTTCGGTGTCCGGCTCGACGACCACTTGACCCCGGCGACGGACGAGGGGATGTAAACAAGCTGCCAGATTTCCCCGACGAGTCCGCCTCCTCATATTGCGCTTTCTCGCGGTGGACTGAACGGAAGCAAGGAAGTGGGTACTTGTCAAGTGTCGTTTTCTCTCACACCGTGAAAACTAGAGCCAGCCTTACAAAGACGCCGTTTCAGGGGTCATGAGAACTAAGTTTTGTTTCTTCACCCTTCAAGGATCTACGAAACAATTCCTGACTCTTCCCGGGGACGTGTCTCAATGAACCACCAAGCGGCTGAAAATTGAAGCACTTCAAGATACTCTGCCTCGTCAGAAATTTCGTATACTGGAAAAGAAACACATTGGATCTAGAGTCAAGACTCTTGAAAACATTGACAAGAAAAAATACTCTTGATTCAATCGGATTTTTGCTTGAACCAAAACGAAATCCGCTTAAATTAAGAGGCTTGGTTCTTGATTTAAGCTAGATTCCGATTGAATCAAGAGTACTTTTTCTTGTCAATGTTTTTAAGAGATTGGACTCTAGATCCAATGTGTTTTTTTCCAGTGTACAACCCATTGAGTGTGCCTAAAAATTCAAAAATCGACTGATAGAAGGGGATCTAATGTGAATTTTTTACATTGGAATCGGTGAGAGCAATTAGAATGCAATATAGGGGCCTGTGGAACTAGAAATCACCTATTATCAATCAATAAGTTAGAGAAAGTAACCAACATTTTGTGTTAATATGGGAAGTAAAACACGAAGTAACATTAGCTGTTGGTTAATTTTTGTGTTTTAGTCTTCCCTGTGTCAATGCGACCAAAAATTGGGGGAAAAGGGGCAAATCTTTGTGTCAAAAATGTGTGACCTCGTTAAGATTCACGCGGCAGCCATCGTGATTAAACCTAGATCACTTTGATGGTAATCCAATGCGCCAGTCACTCGCAATACACAACCTCTGAGTGTTGGGAAGAAAACAAGAGTACCTATACAAGTTCCGTAGGACACTTCCTTTATGCCCCAATGTCTTAGAGTAACCTAAGTTTTTGGTCAATATGACACGAAATTGTATTGAGAAACCAAGTTCTCCGGGTTGATCTGACACAAAAAAGTCACAGAGAGTAATATTAGACACGAAAATTTTCAACTGTGCACTCACTGAAAAATTTCCTCCGAGTGCAACCTTGATTTTAAAGAGGTAACTGGTTGCCTATCTAAATGTTACTCAAATAAAGACAAAATATTAGTGAAACTTCGTACAGGCTTTACAAAATGTATAAATGAATGGGAAAAATCAATTTCGGAGAATTTAAAATATTCTTGCCGCATTATGATCGATGAGCGATTTGTTTCATATCTCCACCCTAATGATAACTGATAAGTTTTGGGATATTAGTCGAGCAGTTTGGAAAGCTAAATTAATGAATTTGCTTGCTGCACAGATCGTTCAATACGTCTCTCATGTGATCTGCTCTGAGAAAAGAAATATTGGTCCTCGGAAATAACTTTCACGCCATGTGAGACCTGGAGTGCTATGTTTCTGAAACATTCCAACTCTAGACTCAGCTGAAGCCCTCAGTTGGATTACATTTTGCACTGAGGAACCACTTTCTCTGGATCTTTCACAAAAGCACACATCTGCATTGGGAAACCAATGGCATGTATGTTGTCTCTAAAATGGGCCAGAAATAGTGGATCCTCATTGCAAAATGTAATCCAGTTGCACTAAATTTGGCAGCTTCGAGATGGAAGAGGAGCCGTGGATCACTTCCGTCAATTGAATTATCGACTTACCATAAAATTGTATCGATGGTTTCGTATCCCTTTCCTTTTTTATCCCTCGCTGAACTCCCTCCTCGGCCCCGTTTACTCTCACAACCAGGAGCAATTGGATTTTTACGCAAGTGATCACACGAAAGTCCCTTTCCTTGTATAGCACAAACACGCCCCATTTATTAAGCCTAATTTTACGAGACTCCCTCCCTGTGTTCTCGTCGTTTCTTTTCGGCCTCTTTCCTTGGTCTGCTTTATTACCCCAAAATTGGGACAGTGATGATAGGAAATCGGACGATAAAACCAAACTCCCCACACTGACCGTTTTCGCTTGCGACGTATATAGAGTATCCCCCGGGATAATCGCACATCCTAGAGGTTTGAACTTTAAGTTGTGAGGAATCAGTTTCTGATTTGATTCCAGTTTTAAACATTCAAGCCGTTAAAAAACTGATGTTTTAACTGATGCAAAAACTAAAACAGTATATTGGATTAAGAAAACGAGACAACGATGAGAACAAACTGATTAAGCGCGACGTTCAGATACTCAGAATGAGCTTTAAAAAGTTTGGGGTAAGATCGAAACTTCGTAAAATGTCACTTTGTTATACACATATTCTTTAGTCAAACGTCAATCTTGAATTTCGTAAAACCTTTTAGAGTTAAGTCAAAATATGGTGCAAAACTGTCGGGATGTAATTAACGACAATGAATTATGTTACAATTCTTCGTCCATACCAATTCTAGAAGCTGACGAGAAATTTCATGAAAATCACCAACTCTGGAGTTGTTGACTAGACAACGGAAGTATGTCCTAGATTCTATAGAACCGTGTGAATTGTGTAATTTTTCTTCCTATTTGTGGTATCTTACGTCTGATGTATCTTATCTGTCTCTATAGAGAGGACTTCAGTTCACAGTTGAAATAATCATAGTATTGGGTTTTACACTGGAAAAAAAAACACATTGGATCTGGAGTCTAGACTTTTAAAAACATCGACGAGAAAAAATACTCTTGATTCAATCAGATGTAAGCCTAAATCAAGAGCCAAGCCTCTTAATTTAAGCGGATTTCCTTTTGATTAAGCTTAAATCTGCTTGAATCAAGAGTCATTTTTCTTGTCAATGTTTGCAAGAGTCCGAACTCTAGATCCAATGTGTTTTTTCCTAGTGTAGTGCGCACTTATACCCACTGAGAAAAATTCGTGGTATTAATAAAAACAATTTATTGGCCGCCACCACCGGTAATAACCATATTTCATTGGAAAAAAAAGAGAGGAAATGTTTTCAGTACCGTTCTACTTGTTACAGCATGGGCCCGAATTATGACATTTTGAGTTGCACTGCAGTCCTTTCTTCTTGAACGAACATCTGTTGTCATTGCACTGGTCTCGGCAAAAACATTTGGTGAAGCTTGACTGCTTGTGTGCCGACTCTCCTATAATCAAGTTGCTACTTCCACCAACCTGTTTCGCGATCAATTTATCGTTGAACACTTTTTTGCATTCTTCACTCATGTTTTCTTGTTTCCTTAAAATTGCTCAGTTAGGCACTCTGCACTAAAATTAATAAAACACTAAAAACCGGCGAAATAAAACTGACTAAAACACTCGAAGTAAAACTTCATAAAAACACGCGAAATAAAACTAAATCAGCGAAATGACACTTTCTAAGGCCACGCGTCCAATGTATCACGCCCGTGCCGACCGAAATAGCTGACTGACTGAATAATGATTAGAGTAAACAAACATATACCTCAGTGCTCCCTTGGTGTGTTATCAGTTGTCACCTATTCATATTGAGCTCTCACTGCACCTGATAATCAGATCGGCCCGGCGAAAGATTGCGCGCTCTTAGATGTTCCCGATTCCCTTTAGCGCACCTAGATGGGCCCGGGCACATCTAGAATCCTGCGGGCGGACCTAGATCAGCCCGAGCGCATCTAGGTCCGCCCGGGCTGACCTAAGTGTGCCCGGGCGAAACTGGATCTGCCCGGAGACGGGATGTGCCCGTAACATGTACAAGTTTTCAGTTCAGTAAGGCACAATTTTTTTTCGTTCTATGACGAAGCAAAGATGAACTCGACGAAAATGATGCAATGGAGAGAGCAGTGCTAGTGTAATAAGGAGTTAAGTTTTGGTGCTAAATAAAAGTACGCAGTGCAGTAATAATCAACTTCAGTTGATTGTGATTCTCATTGTATTTTGCAAAAATGAACCAAGAGCACTGCAATACTGCATCGGTCAGTTAGTTGTTGAAAAACATAATATGGCAAGCAACATGGAATTCAGTCGCGTTGATTCTGTGGGTCAGTTGAATCATAATGATTCATCGTGTTGTAACTTCCCTGTCACAACACAAATCTAAGAAGTGACCACCATGGGCTCTTTATTTTTTTAAGTGTGATCTAACCTTACCGGTGGTTTTATTATATTCAAATGTGCATTGAAATTTCCCCCTGAAAGTTGGGAATTATCAAGAAATGGAAAAAAGGGAATCCGGGAAGATTGAATGTTGACTCGGAGCTGATGCATTATTCTGGCCGTGAGATTAAAGCAGACTGATACTGTATCAAAAAATCAAATCTGGGACTGATGGATGAGGTGTCAGCACCAAGTGACTACAGCCTCTTTCTGTCACAATCTTCAGTCGCCTTCCGGCCCCTTCGTCTCCCTTCTTTCATGCTCGGGGGACACCACTCCCACCCCCATCCCTTCCAACACCCGCTGCGCCGATACTTGATGTCTCAGTGGCAACTTTCATAATAGAAGTGCTTCTGCTTCGTCAAGTTATGGCACGGCCATTCAAAGTCGACTACTTGCCCGCGATAGTTGCTCAGATAATACCAATTTTGCAACATAATCAGCAAATTGTGCAATTTTTTTTAGGAAAGAGATCTTTTTACCGTATGAGCACTATTCTGCCGTGCTAAGGAAAAACGCCGTAAGAACATTTGAGAGCTGCCAAATTTCCTTCGATAAAATGTTTAATTTTTAGTAAAGTTCTGAATATTTTTCCTGTAACTTTTCAGAATCTTTAGGTGAAAATGTGAACAAAATTATCTGAAAAATTGGAAGGAAAATATTCATGAGTTCACCCGGAAATTCGCGTTTTATCAAAGGAAATTTGGCAACGCCTGAGAGTTTATACGGCGTTTTTCCTTAGCACGGCAGTATTCTCAATGAACAAACGCTACTCCTGTTATTGAGACCGTTCATAGCAAACACAAATAACTGCGCTCTACCTCCAGGCTGTGAACCACCGCTAAGCCAAAGAAAACTTTCGCCAATAAGTAATTTTAGTGCTA